CTTTTAGAAACATAACTCGTCGAATGCGAAGTCCAGCAGCCACCATCTTCTCCTTCCTGACTTTCCTTTGAATGCGCCTGCCACAAGCAAAGTCCACTCCGAGGTTACGTTCAGTGCCAACTGATTGCATACCTAGCGGCCGTCGCAGTCGTTTCTCCAAAGCGTGTCTAGCAGCTGGCACATTGGACATCGCCCGTGACTTGGAAGCAGCGATCTCCAAATCCACACTCCCAAGCAAAGTCTGCAAGCGGAAAGCAGCGCCCGAGACCTCTCTCGTAACTCTGACCAGCCCTCCAACTCTATGGAACATCACGTCGCCCACGACAACTGCCAACTGAACCGCGGGGTGATGCCGCACTAGCATGTCCAAGGGCTTGATCAGGACCAGCTTCAAAAAAAGTCGTGGTAAACCCATCGCCAGGTAGCACGGGCTGCCGCGCATCCACCACGCCCGATGCCGCACTTCCCAGAATAAGAACCCGAGGAGAACAATACAGCTGCAATGGCAACGTCAACTGCCAAAGAGGATACCCCGTTTCAGTGGCTGCTGCCACCAGCCAATGATGCCGAATCGGTTCGTAGGCTTTGAGGAGATCAAGGAGAACTGCAACTGCCGCCCACCAACGCTCGTCTCCCGCTGCCACTCCTTTCTGGGTAGCCCACTCGCTCGTGGCAGTCTGGTGCCATATCGCTCTCTCGCAGGACCGACCTTGCGCGGCCCACCAGAAGGGCCGCGAATTGCGCGCCTCCCAAGACCTCGCCACATCACGCCGAAGTCTCGCTTGTACCCGGGAAATGGCCATGATAGGAGCGATAGGCCGAACACCACCTGTTCGCTTTTGAATGAAGCAAACCTTCGTAACCAGTTTCGGCCAAGACGCCGCTCTCTCAATGCCTTCTATGATTTCCGCCAAGACCTCCAAACCCGCATCGTCGAGCTCCAAAAACTGACGTGGGCTGATAATGCCGAAGGACATGCCCGTCTGCACAGGGAAGGTGCGGAGGGCCTTCTTTACCTGCTCCAAAGAGGGCCAGGGCGGCCTCTCACCCAAGTCTGCAAGCCAAACAACCCGCTCTTGATGAAGCTGACACTTCCACCATCGACTCCACTCCTTCTCCAGGGCCACTACTTCAGCGCCCAGGTCGGCAGGCACGCACGGACGACATTCAGCAAGACACTCCGCTTGACTAGGCTCGAACCCTGCAGGCACCTCGGTTTGAGCATGATGGCCTCCACCTCCTCCAACTGCTTGCCGCTCGGCTCACTCGTTGAACTCAGCCCTACGTACATACATATCATGATCCGCCATCCTGCAGGCCTCCTGCTTCGTGCGACTGGCAAGCTGAGGTACGGCGTTCAGGTTCAGCCGACCAATGCGCAGGCTGCTGAGCGCATGCCGCCAGCTGCTCACGAAGGGAAAATCCTTTGGCGAGACACAGCCAGCGCCCCCAGCCGCAGGCTCCACCTCCACGAGCTTCGGAGGCTTCGCCAGTAGCTTGCGCAGACCTTGCAGCGCTCGAAGACGCGGTATGGGGTACTCCATCCTGGAAGCGACCTCCAGCTCGTTGGGCACCTGAAAGAGCCACGTAGCTTCAGCAGACACCCTGGGCCAGCGAGCCCCTGCAACTGGAAGGTTTCGAACCCACT